TTGCTTAAAATTTTAGTTTGTATGACAAATTGAAAAATATGAACAAGTTTATATGACATTTCAAAAGTTTTCCCATATATATACAAGTCTTTAATGCAAAGGGATCCCCATTTTTCCAAAAAATGGAGATTAGGTGTGGGGGTAATCCACATCGAACTTCAACGATCTGAACAATCTATGTTGTAAGTATCGATTCATAGATCATCCTTACAAAAATTCAATTCAATCCCAAACCATTTGCCTACGTAATTATCAAGATAAAATTTCATTGTTTCTTATATAACAAAGTATTCATTAATTTCTTTAAACGTAATTAGATGTCTTAAATATTTCTGATTTGGCTAATATTTCACATACATTCATTTTTGACACACATTTTCACAAATGTTTTGTAGGACCTACTCTGTAACAAAATATTTTAAGGATTACGCGTGAATCTTTTAGATTTTTCCTCAAAGATCTCATCTATAAAAAATCACAAAAATTTGAAATTATATGACCATTGAATTAATTGATAGTCTTGCTTTCTATAAAATCGTATTCGTTAATATATATTTTTTTTTACAAATTAATGTTTTAATAGTTTTAGATCTGTCTAATTTTTTTTTGCATAGATAATTTATAAATGATGAATTGAAAATATAAACTATTGAGATTCTTGAAAAAAAATTCAAAATGAACGTTACAAAATGTGTGTTACAAAATAGGTGTCTTTTGATCCCCCTTCCGATGAAGGATTCATCAAATAATTTTATTTGAGTAAAGAAAAAATTGTAGTAATGGTCCCTTAATTTTAATCAAATTAGAGTAATGGTCCCTCAACTAAAAGTCTATTACAATTGGTTTCTCAACTCATCAAAATGTGTAGCTATGTTCATTTTCGTCAACTTCGTCTGAATTTTGTCAAAATAAGTTATGTTGGAAGGACCATTGTGACAATTGGGATACCTCAACTCATCAAAACATGTAGCTATGGTCATTTTTGTCAACTTCGTCAGAATTTTGTCAAAATGAGTTATGTTAGAAGGTGTCACAGCCCATTCCGAAATACTTTTATTGAAGGTGTGAAAAGACTAGAATGCCATTGGGCGTTGAGATGAGTCGTATGTGACATGGTTCTAGAAGTGGACCAATATAATTATTTTCCTAAGTTTTTGGGGCCAATGAGAACTAAACCTTGGTTAGTTGTGATTAGTGTGTAGATTGGATCACACACACATCCACATTACTTTATCTCTCTCTTCCCTCCCGTGTTCTCTCTCTATCTCTCAGACTCTTTCTCTCATTCGAAATGGTACGGACAAGCACCCAAGTCCCTTGAAACTTCACAGATCGTGGCCAAAATTAGTACCATTGTGCTCGTGAGGACCATACGAGTTCAAAGGTACCCTTTTCAGGTAAGAACTCGTTCGATATCACGTTGAAAATTCAAGCTCCGAGTTGAGCACTATTCACGAACTTTTAACTGGTTATGTTTTAGGACAATCCAAGCTTGTAGGAAGCTTAGTGAGGTCCCAAGGAAGCTCAAAGTGCTTCGTTTGAAGGTTTTGGACATCGGAATCGTGTGGACGAAGTTTGGCCGGTTTTCTTGGAATTCTCTGGTGAGATTTCGTGACTTTTAGAACTTTAAATTAGTGATCGTATTCTACAAGTTAAGAGCTTCATTTTGGTATAAAATACGTGAAAAATGGTGCAAAAACCAGTGAGAAATGGGCAGTTGTAGGTCTGCCCAGAATCCGGCGCCGATGACACAGTTCCGGCGTCTGGAGGTTGAAGACGATACGCGTGGGCCGCACGTGAGGCCGTGCCCTCCCCGGCGCGTGGGGGCGCGTAAGCCACCTAAAAATTTATCTAAAAATATCACAATGTTCGTGAGGTTGTGTAGGTCATGTTGGTATATTTAAATACCAAAATTGAGCAATGTATGAGAAGTTATTAGCTAGTTTTGTATATGTGCTTTAAAATAATGTTTTATAGTTAATTCGCATATAGGTGAGACTTATCCCGAGGACGAGCGTATCCAAGGGCGACTCGGGACTACGACCCTTCAACATACCAATGAGTGGGCTTTTGTTTTCAGTATATACTTATATACTTGATATATTTCCCAGAAATGCATTTTTAAGGAAAGTATGCTTAGAAATAATATGTCAAATGCTTCTATATTTTGAGTATGCATTGCATGGTTGCATATATATATATATATATATATATATATATAAATGTGGTGCTATAGAGGCACAAGTGAGTTCAGGTAAGTTATGTTTGGTTGTGTGAATCATCGATGATGTGATATGTGATTAAGTAATGTTGAGCTCATAAAGTTGCACCTAGGGTGATTGTGAATTAGCCAGAGATATGAAGTACATGCCTATTTATTTACGTCACCTCCTGCACTATATGCTCATATTGGATCTAACTTAAGTGCACAGTCTTGTCGTACAGACCTTATTCATGGTTCCGACTCGTAGGTGACTAGAGATTTATCGCCCGGCTATTATGAAAGAATAGAGTTGAACATAATTATATTACACCCAACCTTGTCGTACAGACCCTGTCTAGGGGTTCCGACTTATGTGCAGTATATTGCCGTATAGGTCATAGTAGTGACTCCGACTAGATTGAGTTTGAACTATGAATTCAGCCGTACAGACTACCACAGAAATTCCGGCTAACATATCATATTTCTATGAAATTATTATTGCCTAGATTGTTTACTTTGTTACATTTTGGCATGGCATACATATGAATATGATTATATGAAGCATGAACTGAATTGATATGATTTTAGATACATATATGTATATGCTTATATCTTGATTCTGGGAAAATAATATGTTGATGCACAAAACCGGAGGGGTCTTGGAACAACGTAAATCCGACCGTGAATCTGCAAGAAAGTAAATAACACAAGATGTATCGTGATTCACCCCAAAGTTTGGGTTACGTCCACACTGATATTATATTTCTGAGGGAAAGAGAGCTCTGAATATGAGAGTGAGAGCTTTGAGAGGATGAGAGTGAGGCCTCTAGGGGTGAGGAGGCTTCTGAGCCTTAGGGTTTGTGAGGGTGAGGAGGCCATTTTATAGAATAAGGGTTCCTCCCCTTTTTACATATTTGCCCCTTCCTTTATTACATAATTACATTTGAGTCTCCCGAGTATTTATACGGAGGCCCTAAGTATGGTACAAACATAATACATGTTTTACAGCGAGGGGTTAGTATATTGATAAATGAAATGATTTTGTAAAACATTTGTTTTGCCCACTCACGTTTTCTGTTTTAAGCCCCTCTAGGTTCTAAGTAAGCTTACTGTTGGTGGCTCGGGATCGTCGGTAATTCTGACCTATTTGATTAATAGTAGGACATTTTTGGTATTGTGTAACTAGTACTTGTCCTACTAGACTGCACCTAGACTTTTTATGCTCTGATTATGAGTGTTTACGGTTGTAACTAATTCCTATCACTCCCTGCTAGTAGTGCACTATATTAATCTGGTTTTTAATTATTCGTATAGTTGCTATCTTTATCGCTTCCGCATTGTGCACATGGCTACGTCATTCTCACGTGACGGCCAGCATGCCTTGACCTCGGTCAGGGTGTGTTAGAAGGAATATTACTACAATTGGATTAAAATTAAGGGACCATTACTCTAATTAGGTTAAAGTTGAGGGACTGTTTCTGTAGTTGGATTAAAGTTGAGGGACAAATGATAATGAATTTTTAGTTGAGAGACCACAGTTGCACGTTTTGATAAGTTGAGAAACTAATGGTAAAAGATTTTTGGGCTGTTTTGATTCAGATGCCTAGTTTTTGAAATTTTGAGATTAAACATCCATGCCTTTTAGATTTTTTATTAAACATCTTCCTACAATTTAGGTTCCACATATTACAAAACTACACGATTTGCCATTATTTGCACTTTACCAATTAGCTATAAAATCTCTAGTGGTTATGATTCAGTATTCAATTTTAACAGAAATTCTTTTACAATTTAAAAAAAAACGACTTGATATTTGCTTCTACTTCTTACGTACCTTTTTCTTCCAACTCCACACCGTATTAATTGATAGCACACACCAATGTCAAATTGCCATCGAAGATGGTGGGGTACGATATATTGTACACCTTCAAATCTGAATATTGACACTAAAGTGTAAGCCTTTTGTTTTACCGCACTTTGTACCGATATTTTCATAATTTTTCACGTACCATGGTACATTTGGAAAGTTAGCTTCGATTGACTCAATTTCCTTTTAGATATTATAGTGGGTACGTTTCACTTGAACACGAGTATGTTTCAAATTGCATGGTACATTTTAATTTGACATTGGTACGTGTTAATTTAACTTTGGTACGTTTTAATTTGATATTGTTACGTTTTAATTTGACATCGGTACGTTTCTATTTTGAAAAATAAATTGTGGTGATCCATGTCCAGAGATACAAGATGCAATATGTGTGCATACTCAATAATGGTGGATATAAAGATCGCGGAACATTCATAAGTCAATAAAATAGATCGTTATCCCCTAACAAATTGCAGCTTATTTTTAGTAGTTATTCTATGTCTATGTCTATGTCTTTCTCTCTCCCCTGCAAAAGTCTTCACGCATGTATCTCTCTTTTGATGAACTGGATGAGAGAAACGAAAAAGGCAGAAAACATGGCCTCTGATTTTTAGGGAGATAATTAAGAATTAATAAGTGATATCAAAGGATAAACTGGAAATGAGGAGATATATCCTTTTACTTTGAGAAAAATACATTGGTAACAGATAAATGAATTAAATTAGAAAATGCTGATGTGGACATAAATTAAAGCACCCTGATTAAATTTTTAAAAGTTTAATCAAAACTTAAAAACCTACAAATGTTTAGTTTAAATAATATGAAAAAGAAGTGGTAGAATCTAAAAATTAAAGAACCTTTGTTTTAGTTGAGTTAAAATTAAAGAATAATTACTACAATTTACTCTAAATCAAAATAATATTCTTTCTCAAGGGTCGAGAGGGAAATAGCTGTCTATCTCTCTCGACCGAAGAAGTTTCGGCAGCCATTGGAAACTGTGTCGAGCGATGGCTGCAGCAGCACCTGGGCAGATAAACACCGAACCGTTAATTTCGTTGGGTTCTCGAAGCGTCGACTGCTTTAAGAAACTCGAGCACATTGGCGAAGGCACTTATGGGTCTGTCTCTTTCTCTCCCTCCGGCTCTCTCTCCTCCCTTAAATTTAATCATGAACAATGATTGCCCCTTTACTAATTAGGAACTTAAGTATGTAAACAATTCATGATTATATGAAAATTTATCTGTAAATCGACAAATTCGAAATATGTTGGGTAAAATTGTGAAATCATGATTGCTATAATTAGGTTTTAATCCTGTGTTCTTGGTTGTTGTCGTCGTTAGTATTTTCTGGTAATAGTTTGTATGAGTATTAGCATGGGAAGAAAAACTAAGAAAAGTAGTTAATCTCGATCGTTAAATAATAAAGTTGATTAAAAGTAGAGATTATTAGGTTCTTTAATACAACAATGGTGATGTAAACACAAGTCCAAGAGTGTGGAAATTATGTCTGATGTTTTTTTCTTTGTTTCAAACAAATATGTCTAATCTGAAGCAAAAGCAAATATGCTTTTACGTAGTGAAGTGCAAATACTTGTGCGGGGTTTTCTTAATTCATCTCCTGCATGATTGTTCTTTTGCAGTCAAGTGTTCACGGCCAGAGAAACCAGAACTGGGGAAATTGTTGCGTTGAAAAAAATACGCATGGATAATGAAAAAGAAGGGGTATTTTTCTTTCCATGTACCATGTGTTAATAAGTCAGAAATTGGTTTGGATTTTGTGAAACTACGGGTGTATTTATGTATTTACGTACACCACACCCAAGCTTACTCCGTTACGTAAATACACACACATTGTGGTACGCACGTATTTCACATCCTATAATAAGTTGCGGAACTTTTGTTTTGTTTATCTAGTTCCCTATTACAGCAATCCGGGAAATTAAAATTCTGAAGAAGCTTCATCATGAAAATGTTGTTAAGCTGAAGGAGATTGTAACTTCTGCAGGTACTTTTGTTTTTATCATTGATGTTTTATCTCACATCACAATTTTATGTATTTGTAACGTTTATATTGGTTATGTTTTGCTCATAGGTCCCGAAAGGGATGAGCTGAGGAATCAGGGTCGTGAAAGGGATGAGCAAGAGAATCAAGGTCCTGAAAGGGATAAGCAAGAGAATCAAGGTACACAAATCTGTTGCATGAAATCCTAGTCAGTTGTGTGTGTTACATCACTGTGTATGTGATTTCAGAGAGTGTCACTTCGTATCAATTTTTTGTCTGAGGGGGTTATTCTGACATTTGTTTTATCGATTACAGATACTAGTAAGTCCAAGGGTGGCATCTATATGGTTTTTGAGTACATGGATCATGATCTGACAGGCCTTACTGTTCGTTCTGGACAGACATTTACTGTTCCCCAAGTAAAGGTATTAGATATTTTTTTAGAATATTGGATGAGAGAAGATTCTGTAACATCAAGTTACTAACAGTTCTCTCACCTTGTATTCTTCAGTGTTATATGAAGCAGTTATTGACTGGGCTCCATTACTGTCATGTTAATAAAGTACTTCACCGTGACATCAAAGGTTAATTAACAAGTTATATCATCTCCTTTGTTGGAGAGAATTGTTAATATGTTGCACCAGGAGCTATATCGGAATAAAAAGCCTATTCTTGCAGGTTCTAATCTTTTGATAGATAATGAGGGGAAGTTGAAGCTAGCAGACTTTGGGCTTGCAAAGTATTATTGTAGTAACCACGAGGGAAATCTTACAAATCGTGTCATTACTTTGTGGTATAGGTAAACATTTCCTTCAGAATTACCATTGGAAATTTGTGTTGCTAAAGCATTGATTCATTTAAGGAGTATGCCTGATGTTTGGTCAGTGCATAAAATTGATATGATTGGAGCAGGCCCCCGGAGTTGCTGCTTGGAGCCACAAAGTATGGTCCAGCTGTTGATATGTGGTCTGTTGGTTGCATCTTTGCTGAACTCCTGCATGGAAAGCCAATTTTACAAGGAAGAAATGAAGTTAGTTAGCCAGTCATTCTTCTCTACCCAGATAATTGGTTTTAGAATTGATGATTTTACCACATTTTGCATTACATTTTGGCTAATATTGTGAAACTGCGAGGTCTTAATTCGATTAGCTATAGATTGCTTCAGATTTAGTTACACTGTATGTTATTGAAAGATATGCACTGTTTTTCCGCAATCTAAGATTAAGATCTCAATGCCTTTTTGGAAATATGCACAGTAAAATCAAATATCTGTTGAGGAGAATGTGTTCGAAGGATGTGTTTGGTGGAGTTTTCTTCCAACTTGTTTCATCCTAAGGTGTAAAAGTTCTTGCTGTGCCCTATTAGAGGCTGTACCAGGACTTTTATTTTTATATTTTTTATGTTTAATTGTTTTGAGGTGTCTAACTATGATGCAGCAATATGTGGTTGGTTCAAGAATCAAGATAATTTGTTTTTTATTTTATTTTTATTTTTTCTAAATTTGGTGGTTTTATAAAGTATAAAAGACATACATGACTAGGGATTGGAAACATTTGTGTGCCTTGCTGTGACGACCTTGTGTTCATAGTAAAGCATGTTTTTTTTGCTCATCATTTTGAAGTTATGTTTCTGCTGGTATGTATAAATTTGTGTGTCGCATAGATCTGGGGACATGGACAAACAATTTCACAAGGCTAAGTTTTGTGATATATGTTTTATTCATATTTATTGTAGCCTGACCAACTGAACAAGATATTCGAGCTTTGTGGATCACCTGATGAGATCAACTGGCCAGATGTTTCAAAACTTCCTTGGTATAATAATCTCAAGCCAACAAAAACCATGAAACGATGTGTTGGGGAAATTTTCGGACAGTAAGTAAACAATTGATGAGTTTTATAAGTACTATGATTGAATATTAATGTCATAAGCTATTTGATTCTGTATGCTCATTAGTTTTCTATGTCCATTTCAGTTTTGACTTTCATGCTTTGGATTTACTGGACCACTTATTAACTCTTGATCCAAATCAGGTACCGCTTAAATTGGACATGCTTGTCATAATTATTTTTCTAGTATACCCGAGTCTAAATGTGTTCTAGAATCGGAGGAGTTTCTGCTTTGCTATGTTTTTTTAGTAGATTAGCCATACTAGCATAATTCATTTGCTGACATTTTTTGGTATGGAAACCTGAATTCAAATATATACTGGCTCAAACAAATAGTTGAGCTGAATATTTGTTTGAAGATTATGATTAATCATATAATGCACATTATCAGGAGGCTTCAAGGAAAGTAATATAATTGTATACCGACCAACATTATGGATCATCACTAACTGAAAATCAAGCCTTTTGGCCGCATTTGCTGCTACTGTGGAGGAATGAATTTGATAATGTACATTGAGAAATTTTCCACACACTTCTGTAGTATAGGGTTTAAATTTTGGGTTCTTCAATAATTTTTTTTCTTATCTATTGTCTCCTATGTAGAGATGGACTGCGAAGCAAGCGCTGAATGCAGATTATTTCTGGGCTGACCCTTTACCCTGTGATCCAAAGAGGTGTGTTTTGCTATTTTAAATTGTCTGTATTCCATTTGAGTTATTGGATCACTTGGCACATTCAATAGTTGTCCGTCCCACGAACAGTTCCCCACAGATGGTGATAAAAACCCAGTTGTGTTGTGCCTACCCAGGATGACAATTTGTATTTTGCTCCTCTTTTCATTGACTTCCAAAACTCCGTTTAGGCAATTCTTGCTCATCACATGTGCATCGCTAACCAGGTTTAGTCACCTACTAGCCTAATACGTGTCCCTTTTTCTGAAAGTGGCAGCATAGCATTGGACCCATCATTGTGGGAATTTGAGTTGTCGTCGTTTACGTCTTTTGGAATGCCTATGATTCCAGGTTTCTCTTCGTATTTATATATTTGTTAACCTGTACTTGTCTTTCATTGTACAGCCTGCCTAAGTATGAATCGTCACATGAATTCCAAACAAAGAAAAGGAAGCAGCAGCAGCAGCATCAAACTGAAGACGTATCAAAGAGATCAAAGTCACAGCATTCTCATAAGAATGATTGCCCGCCTCCCATTCAACATACCGTGCAAGCTCCTCCACAATTGCAGGGGTCCCATCATCCGATGACTGATAACCAGCCCCCATTATCTGCTGGACCTAGCCACCACCACTATGGAAAGCCGCACGGTCTTCCTGGAGGCCCAAGCAGGTATCCTCCCAGTGGAAACCAGAGTGGGCCTTACCATATGAATCGGGGAGATCAAGCAGGAGGTTACAGTGGCAGACCATATCCACCCCAAGGACGTGCTCCACCATATGCTGGGAGTGGACCAAGTGCTCCTAGCACAGGAGGCGCCCCTGCTGGTTATGGAATTGGCCCTCCAAACTATTCCCAAAACAGTCAATATGGAGTTCCTGCTGCTGATAGAGGTATGAGTACACGAAATGAACAGTATGGTCGGAAGTAGTGACAGTTGGATCTAATGCACGGAATTAGGAGATTATACCAAACAACAAAGATAGTTATGGAATCACAGTCGTGTTAGGGTTAAAATGTCGCAGAAACAAAATCTGGCTGTACATTCTTTTGGGAGTCGTTTTTGTTCCTCCATATGGTCCTAACGTTTTCCATGAAACGTTAAACAGAACTGTAGACCCTAACCCTGCGGACATGGTTGCCGTTATAGGACCCAACCTGATGGTTCAAACTAGTTTGTGCATGCATTGCTTTTGTATAAGTTCCCCAAGTAATAAGATGCTCGATTTCCTTTGTTTTCTTTGTGGTTACGTTTCTTTCATCGTTGTGACAATCTGGTTTTGCACTCTTGAAACTTGGATCAGCTTTTGGAGGAATTTTTCTGAGTCCCTGGTATCCAAGCGGTCATTCCATGTGTCATAATACAAGTTGAGGGACACGAAAAAGTTCATCATTTTCTCTATTTGTATTATAACATGTGAAGTGCTGCTTGAATTCCCGACGCTAGGAACAGTCTCTCCAAGTTTTGATGTATAGCATAAAGAATGTTAGAAGAGTGACATTGTCCAATGAGCGGCTACTCGATCGGAGGTGAAAAGTTCTTGGGCTTTGGGTTAAAATGATCTAAAATCAAATCGCAATTGTTGAAATGATAGAATCAAGTATCCTATTTATCATATATAGACTATGCATCGAGAAGATATCATGTTATACTAAAAACTAATCATTTTAGCAATAACTAATTGAAATTAGATCATTTGATTCAAAAGCCCAGAACTATTTTGTAGAAGAGTGATACTTTGTACACCAAGTTTCATCTCTTGACACCTTTGTTTCTCTGGACATCCAATTTACTCACATTTCTTCAGACACCCAAATTTTTTTACTACACTTCCAATAATACCCTTCTTTTACTTTTTATTAATTTATTTTTCTCTGGACACACAGTTTTGATTTTCTTTGGACACCCATTCTGCCTTCCCTATCAGATCGCGTTTGTTTGTTTCAAAACCTTATAGGTGTCCAAAGGAAATAATTGTTTTTCCTTAAAAGTTCACTAAATCCTTTATGGTAATTTTATATATGGATATAAAAGTCTTTTTCTTTTAGTAAGTAATGGGTGTCCGGAGGTTAATTTGGTACCACCAGTAATTACTTGAAAAAACCTGCTCAGATCCGTTTATCTTGACAATTATTTCCCACAATATATGCCCATTTATTCATGAATTTAATGATTAATTAGATAAAAACAAATTCTAAGCATCTGTAAGTGCTAATTTATCTCAAAATACTAGTCAAATACAAAACAATCAAAATCTCAAAATAATAATACCCCCGGGTCAAGCACACGCAGCCTGCCCTTAATTCTTCTTTCACTGTATGAGTTGACTGTTGCATTCCTCTTGTAAGTTGTAAGTTGTAACTACTCAAATGACGATGGAAAATCTAAGAAAAATTACAAGCAAACTAATCATTCTCGACTAGTCATCCTCGACAAGAACCTTCCGATCATGATATGGATTCAAAAGTATTATGTAGACTCGACTTTGAGAAAAATCTTCATGAACTCGTATACAAGATAACTTATGGCAGCAGATGGTAAAACCTGAAGGTAAGGACACAAGAGAAACGTTAAGGAACTTCACCATAAACCTGATGAAATGAGAAAGAGCTCGACAAAAGATGTGGTGATTTTGAATATAATTACATTCAAATAAAAAATCATTCTCATCTAAAGAATCGTAAGGGCACCGTACCTGCAATAGGCTTGGTGTTAATCCTGCATAAAGAGCAGGCACACCTCCTTGCTCGACAATTTTAACACAAGTTGCAAGCGCGCTTAACTTAGTTGCTCGAACTTGCATTTGAAGGTGTCTCCTCACAACTTCAAATGGATATGTAGCAGCTTCAGAACAAGCACCGGCGATTGCCCCATATAGTAATGTTCTAACGGGACCCAACTCCAGTTGTTCCAAAGCATTCAATTTATCACCTTCTTGTTTCATATGTTGGATCCTTTTCCTCCCTTCAGGTGAATGAAGATAAGCCGATTTCAGTATATCATAAACACCGTAGAAAACTGCACCTGAAGGTGCCATGCTCACAATCGAAGGTAGTAAACCCTTGTAAAGAGAAAAGAACCCTTCAGTTTGGATCATGTGGCGGAAAGCACCGATTACACCACCCAAGGCTTCTCCACCAGGTGCTACCATCTTTGTCCTGATCTGAAAGAATCCACATTTTAGAATGTGACTTGCGAAAATTCTTAATCTAATAGCACAAAGCCTGGAGTTGGGCAAATTCCAATATCAACATATTTGAGGCACAAACCAAGGTTCCAAGCAATGGCCAAAAAACACGAAACATTACTTCATCCAACGTAGGAAGCCGAAACAGCTTTTCCCGGAAGAAAACTTCTTCTCAGATGCCTTGTAAAAGACAATGGAATGATTTACTCCCATTATTTATTTCTTCTTTTTTTTTTCTTTCTCCCATTCGACTCCATTTCAACGAAGAAATTAATTTGAACACAAATTAAGAAAAGAGACGTCAGGAAAAAAATGTGCTTATGAGATGAAATCAGCTGAACCAATAAGTAATAACAGTAGAAAGTTGCAACATACAGTGTCCATAGGTAAGCAGAGCAAGGTAGCTGTAATTCCAGCCGCAGCACCAGCAAGAAACCTCTCGTAATTTGTGGACTCCTCACTCCGAGACAGTTTCCTCAGATGATTTCTGTAAGTATCATAAGCACAGAAATTGATAGCCTTAAAGGGTGCCGTGCGAAGAATATTGACAAAATTTCCTTTCCAAAATCCCTTCAGCCCTTGAGAAGCTGCAATCGTCCTGATGAGTTCAATAAGGTTCTTCTGTTCGCCACGAACTACATATTCCAGCTTTAGCCTCTCAAGAGGAGCAACGAACGTCCTAAGAAAACACCAAGACTCTAGAATGGTAAGGCATGAGCCCTTATTCAACTAAAAAAAATCCAACAGCCAAAATAGTAATATTGATTAATCCAAAACTCTATATATACCAATCCAAATTATTGCTCAAATATCCACAGAAAATAAAAAACACATCACAAGAATTTATTTTATCGGAATTTGAGTTTTTTTACGTCAAAATGTTGATAAGAATGTTTATATTGTGTCCATCTGTGTTGGTGAATAGTGGAAAATAATTAGCCCTATGCATAGGCTCACATGCTTGATACATCTATTTGGGTTAGCTTAAAAAACAAAAATCACGATCTAACGGCTAAAACATTTGGATAGGAGCACTACAATATAATTCTATTGTCAATCCAAAAGAGTCCGGAAATTCATTTGGGTCAGCTTAAAAAACAAAAATCACGATCTAACGGCTAAAACACTTTGATAAGAGCACTACAATATGATTCTATTGTCAATCCAAAAGAGTCCGGAAATTCACAAATAATTATTCACAAAATCATAAGTAAATAAAGATGGAACTGGGTTTAGGGTTTGGAGTAACCGAACCTTGAAACCATAGCAGCAACAGCTCCAGACCAAAGATGCTTGGTGGTATTCATAGCACCCGATCCCTTCCGTGCAGTCTCAGCCTCACCCTTCTCGAACACCGCCACGACGGCGGCCTCCTCCGATGAAAAGCTTTTATCCCCATTTTGCCCCAGGACTTGTCCTGATTCCGGAACATACTCTTCCTCACCACCATCTCCTTCACTTCCCCTTATCGACAAACTCACAGACAAAAACAACGGCGTGCCGCCACCGCCGCTTCTTCCCTTCAAACCTTCAAAACGCAGCGTCCTGCGGCCGCGGCACCTTAAACAACATCCCGAACGGGAACGCAAACGGACATTGGGTGAAATCAAGGAAAGGAAGGAAGGAGGGACGGTGTTACTCGGGTGCAGGAACAGGCCTCCGAGGAAGATGGGATCAGAATCGGGACCGCGATCGGACGGGTGGATATTGATGAAATGGGTGAGGAGGTTGAAGCTGGAGTGGTCGGGTGGGAGCATTTCCGGGTACGTGCAAACGGCGTCGTAGAAGGGTGGAGGAGCGTGGGAAATAAGGACATTTAGAGAGAATGTTTATAAGAGAGTGGGGAAGTGGAGAGGAGGAAGAAGGAAGCTTGAAGAGGACGAGAGAGAGAGAGAGAGAGAGAGAGAGAATGGAATAATTTGAGAGAGAATGTATTCTCTCTGGAATTATTATTGTGCGACGGGAAGGAGATGAAAGTGACAAAAGGACAAAAGGTGGGAATTTTGAATTGGTGATGGTGGATTTGGTGCTTGGTTTCCATCGCCTTCATTTCAGTATCTCTTGTTTGGACGATTGCTTGATTGAACCCTTTCTGTTCGGATCCCAAAGTCCAAATATTGCTCACTTTTTTTCTTTCAAACAAAACCATATTATCTACACTACGAGGTAAGGGGAGATGTGAGTTTAGCTTCACAATAGGCTAGTTATAATGTGATTCAAATGCGAGAATCAAACTTAAAATCTCACACTTACAAATAAAAAAGAATATCATTAGACCACTATAGTACTAAATGACAAATACTACTCACTTTTGAACACGAGACCTATTATTTTTCTTGTTTTCCTTACAAATGCTAAAATAAGTGCACTAATCTCTAAGGCCTTGTTTGGTGGGCTGGACGGGATGAGTTATGTCTAATTAAATTGGACTTGTAACCCAACCCATGTTTGATGAGAAAAGAAGTGGCACGGACAGGATTCCGAATTTCTGACCCGAGTCCATAATGGAGTGGATTTGTAATCGGTCACTACCCATCTCATCTGTTCGATCTTTCTCTCTACGCTTTGTCTTGTCTCTCTCCCCTCCTCCAACAGCTAAAATAATTGCACTATTCTCTAATCTCTAAGTTATGGCCACCAAAAGCATAAGTCACAGAATCCTTTTGGTAAGCGCGTTCATTAGTATAATCTCTACTCTTACAAAGCAAGCTGACTTTTAGTTTTTTGTTATTCCCTACTTTAGGTTGCATAATGAAAGAGACTGTCTTTGCCTTTAGATGTTGCTAATATTTAGTCATGTCATCGTTGTGTAAATAGAAAAATAATTTTTTTTTTCCCTACTAAATAATATGATGAATTCTATGTAAAGGTTGTCTTAATTGTATCAATGTATGTTATTTTATACACCTGGATTGTCTTTTTTTCTTGGATACAATTGGGAGTGTTGAAAATCTAAATCGGTATTGTTTATGCTTACGTTTCTTGGCCCTTGATGCTGGACAGTTGAGTTTTGGGTACAAAATATTGTTGTTTTAAGTGATCGAATCACATTTAAGGAATTTTTTTTTTTCTTCAATATCTATTTATGTGGTAATTTCTTCTCTTTTTCTTAACATTTTAATAGAGGTTTGCTTAGATGTCTTCATCACAATAGGCCTAGATTCATCAGTACTTGGTGAATTTGACATCATTGACACATTCCAATCCGGAATGTCCACTTGGAAATCCGAATCGAGTTGTGTTGGCCGACATCTAGAAGGTAACGAAGCCATAAAGTGTAGTGTAGTGGAAAATGTGAATAAATTTAAATCTAAAAGTGCCTAAATATAAGAGTGTGATGTGAGCGGGAATAAGCCCATTTCATACGTGATGTCAGAGTATAAGTACAGTACAGTAAGATAGGGTGAGAATTATACCATCGAAGGTAATCGTATTCACCAAGATTTGACAAAAATCCTCATCAATAAGAAAGCTCAGCTACTAAAACCTGGAGGGGCAAAAAAAAACAAGGGTGAGTGGGCTTGAAAATAAAGTTTTATAAAAACCTTTTTGAAAACATTGTAGCCCCTTGCCGTAAAACAAATATAGTTTCCAAAATATACATACTACGTATAGTAAGAAAATACCTACCATAGTCTGCAAAATCATAAGATTGCCATATGTCGCAATATTGCGTAAATGAACATATAACAACCAATAACACATAATCTCGCCTAAGTAAACATATCATATTGAGTGCTCATCGACACATGTTGACACATGAGTTCATGTAGAGGTATTCTGACATGAACATGATTGGGTGTAACAATAATATACACTCTATGAAGTATTCTGACATGAACATGATTGGGTGTAACAATAATATACACTCTAGCGCTACAATCACATGAAGATTGGCCCTATTTGCGGTTACATATGAGTTGGAGTTGCCTACTGCAACCTATACGACAGGACTGGCACCTTCTTGGATCCAAGGCGAAAGTGCGGTGCGGATGTGAACATATGTGTGAAAGACTGGCCTTGGCCTTGGGTGAGCACTAACACCGGTGTAGCAAACAATGAGCAAATAACATAATTATAATAATGCCACAACCATTCAGCAATTCTAGTCAATAGCATACTATTCATGACCATAAATATAATTAGGGCATCCACTTTTAGGAAGCTTACCTGTGCATCCCGTAGGATTATTTCATCATTTCCCAACAATAAGGCATTTCTTATAAACGTAAGTTTAAGCATGGCAATCACGTAGAGAATTTATTAATAATTGTATATATGGAAACTAACCTATATATATATATATCAAAGAAAAGACCCACTCACAGATCATGTCGTCGAGTCGAACCCGTCTTGTAGCATTGAGAGTCCTTGCGATTCATTTCGCCTAGAAACGAAACCATTTAGGTAAATATAACATGTTAATGAAATTACGCGTTTTCGTACAAAGTACGACTAATAAAGAAACTATCCTACAATGGTTGAATTTATGAAAAAACGGATGGCGAATTCGGAATCAGTGCGTCGAAATACACTAAGAAGGGTCCACAACCTTACACAAGTCAATATGGAACATCCGCCCATGGATTTTCGATCTGTAACTTCCCAAAGTCCACATTATGCTTCTAGAACAACATACTAAAACTTCTTTACGATCCAACGGTCGGATCTCTACCAATTGGTAGAATTAGGTTGCTATCAATGTTTATTTTACAAACTTAGAAATTCAATTTGGGAAGATCTGTAAGTCGGATTCCTAATCCGTCAATTCCTATAGCCCTCAATTATTAAGTACTATAACATATTAAAGTTTGGTGACGATCCAATGGTCGGATCATCGAATCATATAATAACCAAGTGGCGGCCCTTAACGGAATTATAACCAAACAACGGAATTTCGTCAATCAGATGTCTAATATGGAATTGGGGCACCCATTTTAGCGTAGGGATGTCAAGTGGTGTTTTTGCCCACGCACCGCCGCACGCGGCAGCCGACCGCCTCGACTCGCCAGAAAAATTCAACTATTTCAAAAAATTATCAAATTTAACAGGAATGAAGGTCTCAATGAGGGGAGCAATTTTCATACCTGTGGCCAAGTCCAATTTGGCGAAGAAAGGCCCCAAATTAGCTCGCACCCTTCGAAAACCCTAGAATTGGTGAGCTTCGATTCGCCGTCGCCAGTACTCCGCCGCCCCTACCATTGGTTGGGTCTTGTTCCTAGGTCCAAGGGGAGTTGATTAAGGGTGGTGGTGGGTGGTGAAACTCGCCGGAACGGTAGAATAGCCGTCGAGTACTTCCGGTGCTCCGGTGAAGTTCCTCGAGAGTTTGAACCTAAAACCGCACGATCTTGGGCAGAAATGGTTGAGGGGATGTTTTGGAAAAGGTTACAGGTGGTAGAAGGGCAATTTGGCTTGAAAAAATGGCAGAAGTGGTCAGAAACCACTCCGGGTCGAACGGTTTGGGTGCGGGTTCCAGGTTGGGTGCTCTGCACCTTTCTCCTCTCTCCTTTCTCTTCCTTCCCATTGGTCCATCTCTTTCCCCTCTTCTCCTAACTGGTATGTCCCCCTCTTCTCTGATTGGGCAGCTAATGCTCTTTCTCTTCTTTCTCCCCTGCCCCTCTTCTTCTTCCCTCTCATTTGTCTCTTACTCTCATTTCCCTCATTTCTCTCATCTTCTTTCCATCTCAGCCATACACATGGCACAAGATGATGCTCCAACAAGAATCAACGCCTTTACCTCAAGGGCATTATTATAATTTTACTCATTTAAAATCAATAAAATCGTAAAGTTAGGGTCAAGTTGTCACATCATGGCACGTATGCTCTAAATAGTTTTCGATTTTTGTATGTACATTTTGGCTTTAAAGTTTTCTTAATTTTTTGATAATTTAAGGTTCAATTTTCATTTTCGTATCCCTTATAGCTTAATTTCTTTCTTTCATTTTACATCTTTATGAATTCCTTATGTGTTCTTTTTACATTTTTATTTCGTAGAATTTTGCATATTTGGTTGGATTCTTAAAGGAATTTCTTACTTTACTCGTTGTACATATATCATGGAACTACACATACAGTTTATGCATGTTTTTTTTTCGCCAATCATTAAAACCTTCTCCCTTACTTTTCCTATATCACCTTAGACGAAGTATGCCTACATTTGGTTTGATTTCAGTGCATTTTATCCACCAAAACAAGAAAAGAGAATAAGTAGCATGGAGTTTCTTTTGTTTTTTTTTTATGGACAAATATGTGATTCTGTATATTATGCTGATGCAGGACAAAATTACGGTTTGATTTGATTGCATAAAGATAATATTGCTGCCTTACCTATTATTCTGTAGTGTCTTCCCAAGATTCATAAATCAAACCTTTAAAACAGAATCATACTACAATATGTTGGAGAACAATTCAAAAAATAAATAAAAAATAACAAAACTTGAAATATTGATTCTTTATTAATGAAAAATACTTGCAATACTAAATAAAATAATAGAAATAATTACAGGAAATAAAATGATATTAACTTGATTGAATCACATATAGAGGCTAGCGCAAAAGCTATGTCCTTCAAACAGTATTGACATGTATATCACTTACATCGGAATGAAAAACTAAGAATTTATAAGTTGAACTATTAAATGCAAAACCAATAAAAACACAATCAATAGTTTTAGGCCCTAACTTTGTTCTAACGGGACTTGTACTTTTGCCAGGCAACCCGACACTTTAAGCAATTTATACGTTGGGGTTCTTCCTTTCCATAATTCATATGGTGACTCTTTTATCGTTTTAGGTGGAATTCAATTCAAAAATGTATTTGCAGTAAAGCTTCACCCCACAAATTGAGTGGAGCTAATCAACATGGAATTTATCATGTCTTCAGAAGTCCTGTTTTTCCTTTCGACAACATTGTTTTGTTGCGGTGTATAAGGAGCTATTGTTTGATGAATTATGCCATGAGTGGCACAAAATTCAGCGAAGGCAT